AGATTTCCTGGGCCTACCTCAGTTCTAACTGAATCAAAAACTTTGGGGGTGGAGACCGCAGTTTGTATTTTAATAAGACCTCCAGGTGATCCTGATGCATGCTGAAGTTTGAGAACCATTGTCTTGGGTCTTTTCCTGATTGTTGCCTAGTAACTCCATCAATATTAGTTGAAATGGACTAGGTTAAGGTCTGTGTTAGAACTACTATAAGCCTGTTACTTAGAGCACTTTTGTAAGAATACTGACTGAAGTAGTGAGAGGTAAAAGTCATCTCTTGTGGATTTATTGTATCTCGCTTTTTGGAAATTTCCTGAGCTTTTTTCTTTTGTAGCTACAAGAAAGAACACCAAATTAAGAATATATGTTTTAGGCTTTTCTTAAAAATAGATCCTTGGTGAGATGCATTAGTGGTAACATACATATTAAAAATGTATTATAAAGAATTTCAGGAGGCCATCACCTGAACCAATAAAGGATTATGCCCAAGGGAAGGAAATAACCCAGATACAGATGTTCAGTAAGCAGTGAGTTTATTTTGGAAAGCTGCCAGTTGATGCTATTGTATTCAAATTCATCAGGGACAAAGGTTGCATGTGATTCAGGACTTGACCATTCTCTAGATTAGTATAGAATATTTTCTCTTTTTAAAGGAAGTTAGTTTTGAATAGGTAAAGCACTTGCCATCTCTTGGCCTACTCTATAATTTAGTTAAATCAGTGGATAGGATTAAAACTATTGAGAGGTGATATGGATAGGGAGTGATTTTATAAGCCTGCATTCCACAGGAAGTCAGGTTAAAAGCGGAACTATATAAAATGAAAAGATTGATACAAGGTTCTTAAAATTAAAGGGACTAGAGAAGATGCCCTCTTAATGAAAATAATAACCTCAATTCTCTTTCCTGTAGCTTTATTACACAGAACTGATTGTGCTTATCCCTCTTAATGTGTTTCTCTATATGTACCAATGTTGTCATCGCTATAGACCACTAATGAGCAAGCTTCACTGTTCTTCTCCTGGCCAAGTACATAGTACCCATGCAGTAATTGCTGATGAACTTTCCTTCTTTCAAAGACTCTTTACTGAATGTGATTAACTCTTGACCTCTTTAAGTACTTCTTAGTCTAGATTAAATAAGGGCAAATGCTATGTTTTCAATATAATAAAAATTAACTTTTAGGGCTTCCCTGGTGGCGCAGTGGTTAAGAATCCGCCTGCCAACGCGGGGGACACGGGTTCGAGCCCTGGTCCGGGGGGATCCCACGTGCCGCGGAGCAACTGAGCCCGTGGGCCACAACTGCTGAGGCCCACGTGCCTAGAGCCCTGCAGTGGGAGAGGCTACCGCAGTGAGAGGCCCGCGCACCACAACTAGAGAAAGCCTGCGCGCGGCAAGACCCAATGCAGCCAAAAATAAATAAATAAATTTATTTAAAAAAAAAAAAAAAAATTAACTTTTAAAATGTTTCAACCTATACACTTCAAAAAACCTAAATACACTTACTTGGAAAACTGTTTATTATTTTTTTAAAGTTAGGATTTAGGTTTAGAGTATAACAGAAAATCAAACTAACAGTGGCTTAAAACAGATAATTTTGTGTTTTTTTTTCCCCCCACGGTAAAAGCCCGGAGATGGTTAATACAGATCTGATATAGTGGATATAAAGTATCAAGGACAGACTCTTTCTGACTTAGTGTATGTTACATTCCAGTGTTAGCTCAAAAACTGAAATTGCTATTGCAATGCTTTACCCATTGGATCTTCATTAGTCGAAAGGAAGGAGGAAGGGAAGAAGAAAGGCATGTTCCTCTATGTAAAAGATACTTTTTTTGAAGTCACATACCGCCTTTAAGCTTACATCCAGTTGGCCAGATCATGGTCCCATGGCCATACCTAGCCACAACGGAGGCTAGGATACGTAGTCTCTTCTGGGAGGCTTTATTCTGAGCTGGACATTGGAGGTCTATCTCTAAGGAATAGGAGAGAATAGGTATTGGAGATAGTCAGCAGCTTCTTCCACGTATACAAATAAATCATCTTAAAGCAAGGAAAATATTTTTCAGTTCGAGTGTACAACACTTAATTTATGCCAAAGGCGTTCTTATATTTGCCTGCAATGACCATAATAGAAAATGCTTGGAAAGAGATGATATATCATAGCAGACCGAAATAGAGAACTGTATCTTGGAATGCTCTAAACTCTTGAGTTTTTAAGCTTTTTACTTTTTTTTGTTTGTATTATCTTGGGCCAGATTTTTATAATCTTAATCTAGGACCATAAAGGGGATAGACAACTTAATTGCCAGGTGATTAAGAGAAAGGCAAATAGAAATCAGATGAGAAATGATCAGCTGTTATTTCATTTGAAGAGCTCAAGGAGTTGCCTGGTAAAGTAGTGGTGGTATGAGGATGATGGCCTACACTGATTACTCCTCTGCAGTTTGGCGTTCATTTCCAAACCATGTATCCATGTGCTGTATCTCCCCCTAGAATATTGCATCAGGTCATACTTAGGTATTTTCTCTCATTTCAGTTCAAAATCTTTGGTCTTCATAAGAGAAATAAAGCAGGCCATTTTGGGTTATGTTAATTTATGAATGCTTTTGCCAGTATCTTGTGTTTATTTTTACATCTTCAACCTAAAGGTTTGATTGAAAATTCAGAGAACTCAGTGTTTTATGCATTTTTGTGTCATCTAACTTAAATATTAATATTTTAAGCATGTAATGTCAAACAGAGGAGTTTAATCATTTGGGGATAAGTAGAGGAGGGTAGAAGAGTCTCTTCTGGGTTGATACAGCATTATTCATTGTGCTCATAGGGTTTAATAGGCATGGGTTACAAATATATCCATCTCCTTAACAGAATTGCTATTACTGAAAACAGCAAGTGAATAGTTGTTCACCTAGGACTTTGTTAGGAGGTTGTATATTAGCAAAAGGTGTAATAACTTTGGCTGATGATGGGCTAGTGATTATGAGCCTTAATTTTCTTGAGTTGAGCCGGGCAATGCAGCAAATGTCAAAAATAAAATTTTAATATGATATGAATGTCCTCTGTTACTAGTATTGGATAATACTCTTCCATTTTAACCAAAGGCAGTACCTAAAAATATGAACATCTGAGATAAGCTTTGCTTTTCAAGTGGTAGAAAGTTGTTGTAGTAAACAATTAATAGTATTAATATCAACAGTCCCAATAATAATAATATAAATAATAGCACTTAACATTTATTGAGTGCTTACTATATGCTAGGCATAGTGGTAAATCCCTTATATGCATTTTCTCATATAATCCTCATAACTGTATAAAATAAACAGTATTACTGTTTCCATTTTACAGATGAGAAAACTGAAGATTAGGGAGAGCAGTTTGACATTTGAACCCAAGTCATTTTTAACTTCAGAGTCTCTGTGCTGTAATGAGCTCATCATACCTGACGATCTGGTGCCCCAGCTCCAGGGCAAAACTTGGTAGTTAAGGGCAGTCCCAGGGCAGGTCAGTTGGGTTGTCTGGATGAGGAAATGAGCTTCCTTGACCAGCTGTACTGCTGAGCAGGAGAAGGATAAGGTACACAATACATTAGTGAATTCAGAATGTCCATTTTTGGAGAGAATTTTCTCTAGCTTTGAATGTTTTTCCTTCTGACAGAAAATAGGATGTTTTTTTTTTCTTTGCCTGATAATTAAGAGGATAGTATCATTTTCATTCAGAAGAATAGTTTTACATTTTGAACATCAGATAAATAAAAAAGCAAGTAAACATGATGCCTCTTCCCAACCCTCCCTCCCCTGTAGGCTTCACAGAATACTTTACTGTAGGGTTCCTTAAATATCTGAATTCCCCTAAGTTCCTTTGTGTTTGTTTACAGTTAATGTGTTAAGAGCCATTGACATTTGAAGATCATCAGAAGTGAAGATAAAACATCTCAAAAATTATAATGTAAGTGAATGGGAAAATGGAAATAAAAAATGGACAGAAGGGAATATTGCCAACAATATTTCTGCAATTCGTATATTACCCCAAATGCAATTTATGCATATGACTAACCAGTAACTTCAAACTTTAGTCCCAATTCCAAGTCCTAGTTCTTAAAATTCTGTTCTCTTCTACCTAGGGGAAACAGTCACTAAGTTTTAGTCATCAGTAATTTTCCATTAGGATTCTTTTGGCTTCCATGTACTGTTTTTTTGCTTTTTTCTCCTTAGTACTTTGCACTTTCACAGTGGGTTATGTTGTATTTAAAATTGTACGTGTGTAGCGACTGAGGTCTTCGCTTTCTAGCTGCTGATGTATGATTTGCACAGTTTTAATTTTACTATCATTCTTTATGTTTCTTGGCAGAACTATGACCAGTAAGCTAGCTAGCCTCCTCCCTGCCTTCCCTTCTGTCTTTACCAGCTCCCTTCCTTCCTTTCTTACTCTCTGTAAGTATTTGTTTAACATAGATTATGTCCTGAACATTGAGCTAGATCCAGAATTCCTAAGACCTTGTTTCTGAAATAAGTTATGTCATCTTGTTATGTCATCTTTTTATACAGTTGGTACATTAGAGATCATGTAGTTAATTTCTCAAGTGTGGCTGAGGCCCGCCTGCACATTTCAGTCACTTGTGGTGCTTGGTGAACACTTAGCTTCCTGGGTTCCAGGCCAGACATTCTGAATCACTGGGAGTGGGCCCAGGAGTCTTTACTTAAAGTGAGAACCCCACCGATCCAGTTACTTTTTGGATTCTAGTACAGCTCTATAAGTTTGCAGTTGAGGGAACGACCTAGAGAAGTTTAATAACTTTACCCAAAGGCACCATAAGTGTTAGAAGGCCAGGAATGGTTGGTGGTGTTTTCTCCAAAGTCATGGAGATATTTAGTGTCAGAAGTGATCTGCTGACTCCTAGACTTCAAGTCACGTTGTGGGTTTTATTAGGCCAGACAGCGTATATTTATAAAATCATAGGCAGTTCATCACTGTTCCTGAAAAAAGTAACTAAAAAAATAACTGAAGAACATCAACTGTTTGTTTCTTCATCTTTAGTCAGATATATGACTGGTTCTGATTTTGAAATCACTGGGGTTGGGGGGAACCCCTGGTAGTCCAGGAAGAGGAAAAAAACCTTTTATCCCCCCATGGCACTATCCCTACTTGGTATTTAAATTTTATGCTTCTGAAAAGGAAGGATCTGATTTCCTTTTTGAATGATGGGTAGCTAGCATAGTGCTTTGCAAATAGTAGGTGCTTGATAAATAGTATGAACAGGTTACTGTTAAAACTTTGTTTTTTTTCCTTTGTATTCTATAAGCTATTATTAGGAGTGGTTTTATTTGCTTTGTACAGAAGCTGATACTTTGTATACCATGCCAGAGACCTTAAATAATTGAAGTCATTTATATTTATGATACTCCATTGTTGTAGTTGATATTCACAATATCTCTGAGGGACTAAATTATTCTAAAGTATTTTCTGAACTATATGTATTTGAATTAATTTTAGTGTTGTATGTGTTTTATATTGTATTGTGTATGGTATATTATAGTTACTGAATTGTAACCTTACATTAGTAAATGTCGTTATCCAATTTTCTTTGAAATATTCTGTAATTCTCAAATTAATGACTGAGTTTAACTATAAAATGCTATTACTCAATTTTCCGGAAATTTTGGGACATGTTTTAACTGTAAGATTTTTAAAAAGACATTTTAAGATCACATATTCATTTCTAATAAGCTGTATTTTTGTAATTTAAAATTTTCTTCCCATGAAATATTTTTGTTTGCTCTTTTTGTAACCACAGACTTAAAATTGTAAATATGGTGGTTCTAAAAAGGAGTCTTATCACGCAGTATAATTCCTTCATTGTATTCCTTGATACTTTCTTAGGCCTGTGGTTTTTAGTTTGGATTCTACTTCTTAACTATGACCCTGGATGAGTCCCTTGATTTCTCGGAGCCTGATTCCTTTATCTGGAAAAAGGGTAAAATGATACTTGCTGTCCTATTTTTACAGAATCGTTGTGAGACCTAAATGTGGTGACTTATGCTGATGACAGTAATTTAAAAGAATAGTTAATGCCTGTGTACCATGTAGTAGGCACTGTTTTAACTATTTTACATATATTCATTTCATTTTCATAACAGTCCCGTGAGGTATAAGAATTATCATTATCCCCACTTTATAGATGAGGAATCTGAGGCACAGAGAGGTTAAGTAACTTCCTTGAGGTCACAACAGGGTGGTAGAACCAGAATTTAGTACCAGGCAATCTAACCCCAGAGTTGGTAATATGTATGGAAGATAAATATGTATGAGAGCTCTTTGACATTTGTAAAGGGCTATACCAACGTTAAGTATTATTATTCTAAAAGTACTTTAAAAGAGAGATGTTTTCCTCATCCTTTTTATACAGATAGAGGAAAAAAAGGCAAAAACAAGCAAGAAAAAACAACCAGCTTAATCTGGTAAATAGAGAATAGTATTCAAAATTAAGAAGGGATAAATCACAGAATGATGCCAATACATTAGATTTTTAATTTAACCATTCCAGGCTAGGAAGAGGAAGAGACGTTGAATGCTCTTATTTTCCTACAAAATGTTTTAGTGAGTGCAGGACAAAACAAAATAAAACACCTATTCACTTATATGACTGAAGTTTGTGCAGAAAAGTAATATCTCATTATGATGATGGGGTCGTGACCAATTAATAGTAATAATTTGTTTTTCTCTGTCTTGGGAAAACAAAATGTCTGTCTAGATAGCCTAAAGAATGGATATGTGACTTCATGGTTTTAATAATGAATTCAGATTTGCATGATGGAATGAGAAAATTACATGCAGGGTCATTTATCAAAGCATGAATTCCCCGTGTGTTTTCTATTGTTTGTCCAGTTAAAAGTGTTGAGCAAGCATTTACAGAATAGGTCAACTCTCCTCTTTTTAGCGTTTCTGCCCTTATACTTCAATTTGGATGGAAGTGTTCATTTCTAAAAGGAAATGCAATTTCAATGTAGTGTGCTTTGAGCTCTATTCTTTCAACTTTCAGTTTAGTGCCACATTTTTCCCAGCTAAATTGCTAACTTTTCCTCTCTAGGCTACTTATGAATCCATGTGAGTTTTAATTTCAGCTCACATCAGAGTTTGAATCAGGATTTTTGAAGGGGTTCTGAGAAACTCTTTTAAGGAGTTGCTGAGGGTGTTGGGATTGGTGCTGGGACTGAAAGTCCCTCCTCCTGTCCAATTCTCATCCCATTCCCCGTGGACACACTCATTTTGGCTAGAATACTTTGGCTTTTACCAATTTATTTATATTTCCAGATAAGATCTTTGAAGAAATAATACTCTGCAGAAGAAAAACATGTATGTAAACCATTTCTATACAACCTGGTTTTTCACACTTTCTGTTGCATTACCAAGTAATATGCCCTAACTTTTAGTTAGGGAAATGTAGTTGATAGACCTGAAAATAAAATAATACAAATTAAACTGTATCCAAGGTCATGTGTACCTCAGAACCTAGGGATTTTCCAGACTAAGTGCCAACATGCACTGCACCAGCTGTCTCAGAGCTCAGATCTCCTTTGTTTCTCAGAAGAATACAAAATGTAGGCTCTCATCAGTCAATCAGATGCCATGATGGTAAGATCACTTATGTCATCTCTTTTATACTATAGATTGGTTAAGTTAAGAAATTCAGGTTTCTGGTGTAGCATTTAAAAAAATAATTACTATAAGCTGTAATTAATTTGTTGGGGGAGTTGTTTTTCTATTTTGGAGATCCTGCAAATATTCTGACAATACGTCTTTTGTATCCTAAGTGCTTTATACACACTGCAGGCCCTTTTTTTTTTTCAATAAAATTTCCAAAAGAATGACTAATAAGAACATGAACAGTGCTTATGCACTATAGTCCATTGTGTAAGTATTGACAGCAAAATTTGCATTTCTAGAAAAGCTCGTTCACAGTCAGAACGTAGAATACATTCTTTAATGTTCTTGGGCAAACATGCTATGTATGTGTTCAGGACATTACTTACAGGAGAATACTTTTTTGAAAAGAACCTTTTCTTTCCATGGAATACTGAAGAAGAATTGAATTAGCAGTAGGAGTGAAGCAGTTTAAATAAGGCAAGTGATTTAAATCTTATTGTAGTGATTATAGTCAGTAATGACTGGAAATAAAAGAAATTAAATCCTCGGGAGGCATTTGTTTACTAGGATATATGGAAAGATAGGTGACTTGTTTCTAGGTTGTTTTGAATTAAGAGTGTAAAATGTTGGTATGTTTATCTGCATCCCTAATTTTCAGACACACTTTTTCACTTTTGCTAGAAATGTTTTTATGGGATTTTGAAATGTTACATCAGGAGAACTAAGAGGAGTATAACTATATTTTTGGCATCATTTAGTGCTTGAATTTTATTGTGAAATACCACCAGTGTTGGTGCGATTGACAATAAAGTAATGTTAATTCCATTAACAGTCCAGCAAACCAGCAGAGTCAACGAGGGTCAGTGCTTTGCTAACAGTTACATTGAAAAATACTGGTGATGGAATTGGTTTTGTGATTGAAGCTTTGGGCCAGTCTTCTGCTTGAATCTATCAGAAGTTACACAGGATGCACGTATGCATGTGTGTGAGGGTGTGTGTGTGTGTGTGAGGGTGTGTGTGTGTATAATATGTACATATTTATATGTATTAAAAAATTTTCCCCTTGATATTTGTGCTTAGTATTCAGTGATTCGTCCATTAACTAAAACTTTGTTTTTACGTTTAAAAGTTTATACGTTTAGTTATCTTAGTCAAATGAAGACATTTTACAGCGTACATCTGAGTGAAAAGTACTTTTAGGGCCAAGGGCTCTGCTTCATTTTAATTTAATTAGTGGGTTCCTTTTTAAAAGGAGACCCTTATTTCTGATTTCATACTGTTTTCCTTTCTGACAAGGGTACTCTTGTATTTCCACGATGCTATTCGTTGAACACTTTCTACCAGTTAAGTATTTAGTACGAATTGCTTTCTACAGGTCATGTTTTTTATCCTTACTATGGTCTTAATAAGATATCATTACCTTATTTTATAAAGAAAGAAATTAGGTTAAGTAACTTGCTTGAATTATTTGCTAAGCGGGAAACCAAGTCCTTGTGACCCTGCAGCTCATATTTTCAGCTACTGAGCACTTCTGCATCTGTGCTCTATGCTTTGTGTTCTCTTCTGTGTTTCCATTGCGTCCTTTATATTCTTTCAGTCCCACATTTTACTATTATGAGATACTTAGATATCCAGCATCTTCCTTAGACCATAAGTCCCTTGAAGAAAATGAATCTGTTTTCAACACTGTCCCCAGTACATGATACATTGGTGATGTCAGTAAATGTCTATGAGAGGGGAGGGTATGAAATAGGAGACTTAGGAAGTTCCTGCCCCGCAAATGGAGGGGAAGAGTGTGAAGAGCCAGAGGGAAGATGGCTAAGAGGCCTTTAGTGGAGGTAGAGATTCTTAGTCTCCATCCTTGAAGGAAGCTGAGGGGTACTTTGAGGCATGGGAATATTTGGAATTGATAAGTGACCCCTGCTATCTGGAGACAGATTTTTCTGCCTTTGCAGCATTACCAGGGATGCTTGTAAGTTCACTAGTATTGAGGCAAGAAATACTTTTGTGGTAGGTACAAAAATTCATTTGTTTAGACATAATTGTCATAATTAGCACGTTTTTAGCCTGATTAATTCTCAGGAATAAGTATAACTTAAAAAAAAATCTAACTGAAACAAACAAAAAAATTGAAAAGTGGAGAGTACCTTATTTAATACTATATATTTTGAAAAGCATATAAAGAGTAATTTCTATCTTCCTACCAATGATTAGTTTGTATAACTCTGTTCGCCTGAATGCTACACTTTGAAACAGTAGAACTTTTGAGACCAAAAGGGTGGAACATTGCTCTTAGGAATAGTGTAGCAAGGGAAAAAGATATTCTGTTGCAATAACAACAGATCAGTAAATGTGTGGGAAAGACTAAGAGTCAGATGATGGGATTTCTGTTTTGATCTTGTGGTGGAAAGAAAACTGCATCACTCTGGCTGAGATAGTGGCAGGACTATTGAAAAATAGTATGACTAGTGCTGTCCTGTATTATGCCTCTCTTAGTCACTATAAAGCTAAGTTCAGTTCTTTCATAGGTATGTGTGTATGTTCATTTGGTTACTTTGTGGAGCCAGAAGTTAACATTTAAATAATATTGACTTGATTCCTTTAAATTAGGAATAAAGAGAATAATATAGTTTAGGGTAGAATAAGAAGTGGGTTAAAGAGGGGAGTTCTACTGAGAATGGTTTCCCATTTACAATGGCCATGGCTCTGCAAATTTGGATAAGCACATCTGAGAATGTAAATTGTTCGCATGTTCATATAATCTTTAACTGGTCTTCCAAAGGATTATACAATGGATCAGAATTTAGAATATCATGCAGTTTTATTCTGAGATATTTTGAGCCTCCTGAGAAAAGCAGTCTACATATGAATAAGTATAAAGAATAATTAGTATTAGTAACAAGAGTATTCCACAGTGCTGGTTATATTTTTATCAGTTTTGTAGCTTTTGAGAAAATATTCTCTCTATAGCAACTTTATTAATTTCTAAAATGTGTTTTATTTATACTTTTTTTTTTTTGACATAGCACACTTTTCTAAGTACAGACATTACTGCTCGAGGGCAGAAATTGTTTGGCCTACCCTTGAGGTATTATGATTGTTTTTGTTCCGAAGTACACTTACCTTTCCATTATTCTGAACCTTATTAATAACCTGCAGGTTAGCCAGGGCCAGGGAATGTTGTATTTATTTATGGCTTAGGTATTAGAACCTTGTCAGTGTTTTTTTGTACCGCCATTAAAGAACTTATAGGAACAGAATGATTATAATTTGATACTATTTCTTAATAACAATTCTGATAAAAGGTTTGGGCAGAAAAGTGCCCACACTAATTGAAAATGAATAAAATTTCACGATGTTGCTGCTGTGTGACGGCCTTTTCATAGGGAAAGTTTATGCAGTATACGTAAGAAATAATGTTGACGGAGAAGTCTTTGAATCACATTTTCATATGGGACAATAGTTTATTTCTATGTATGTATGCATGTGTGTGTATAAGAGGGGAGAGTTGGGGGCATTATGACTATCAAGAGCTGAAAGGGATATTAAAAATGGTAAAATCCAGTTTAGCAAATATTTCCAATAGTTAGAACCATAACTCTTCATTTGTAATCCTAGAATTTTATCTCTAGGATTTTTATGCTCTGAATCATAGAACCTTAGATTTGAACTTTGAGACCATCTTGTATAGCAGCTCCACCCCTCAGGTCTTCCTTATGACTTGAATGTCATCATTCACAAAGCCCCTCACTTCCTCAACACTTCTGATCCATTTTGGAGATCACTCTCATCAAAGAAAAGAGGTATTGGGTACAGGAAATGACCCTTTTGGTAGCCTGTCAATTAAATGGAATATGGATAGTGGAGAATGATTGCTTAGTTTGGAACCATAGTTGTATTTCTCATTTAAGCATACATTTGGAAAAATCCTTTTTGTCATTGAGGGCAGGTGACATTTCATGATTAAAGCAGATACTATGGAACGGTTATAGTTTAATTTGAATAGTAACACCACAATTCTTTTCATCTTGACTCTTTGAAATCACTCTGTGAAACTGTTATGAAACTAATGGTCATTAAAAAAAAAGTATTTGGACCATGAACCTGTGACTCTCTATGTCATCTTTTCATTTGTGTGCCCAAATTCTATCCAATTTGGCTTTTGTCAAAAATAAGATGATGTGATTTTTTTTTTTTTTTGGACATCTGGTGACTTTTCCACGAGTCTTTTACTGTTTGTCATGATAGATTTGATCATCTCAAATATAAATAGACATTTATTTAATGTCTTTTCCTATAAATCAGTTATTCCTTTAAATTATTTTAGTGTAAATAGGTCTGGCTTACCATTTTAAATATAATGGATATGTCCTAAATGCTAATCTCTGAGGAGCTCTGATTTTTATTTGGAAGTTTTCTTGGTACATAAGCATTTATTTTGCACGTTTTACCTAACTAGAAAACGTAAGCTTGCTTGAAAACATTAGCAAAGAACCGTAAGAAATAGCTGTGACTCAAAGATGAATGTGATGAGGAGGGTATATATCCAAGGAGTCATCCAGGAGGAATGGTGTTAATGTGGAAAGTCTTCCTGAGAAGATGCCTTGTTTCTTAGATACCCCCATGTATATCTTAAACATTTTAACAGTAACTTCATTTTCCATATTTTAGTACATTATCAGTTGTTGGATGCTGGTCCCTCCCCATCC